CAGCTTATTTAATAAATTTAACTCCTACCCCTGTTCTTTCGGGTCTCACACCATTTGAAAAACTTTTTGGTAAAACTCCTGGTTATTCACATTTAAAAGTGTTTGGGTGTCTTTGCTATGCTCATAATCACACCAAGAATCGTGGAAAATTTGACTCTAAAGCATCAAAATGTATTTTCATCGGTTGCCCTTATGGACAAAAGAGTTATAGAGTTTATGATTTGGAAACTAATCAGATTTTCATTTCACGTGATATAGTTTTTTATGAGAAAATCTTCCCATATGCATCTATTCATAATTATAAAGATTGTGTGGCTTCACCTTCCCCTAGTATCACGCCACCCAACTTGGAAACTCATTTTTTGGCTTCTGATGATAGTGTCTTAAATAACACCATTGATAACCAAAACCAGTCCGAAACAATGGAAGAAGCACAAGCTGCCGACATTGATTTGGAGACCAATACAAACCACCCAGATCAAGATCAAGTAGTCCGACCTCCTCGACCACAACGTGAGAGACGTGTCCCCCAAAGGCTTGATGATTATGTTTGCACCATGCCCCAGTCTGTTATGCCTATGCAAGCTCCATCTCAATCAACTAACTCAGGTGATCCCTATGCTTTATCTAATTGTGTCTCTTACAATTCTTTTTCATCCACTCATCTTAGTTATCTAGCAGCCATCTCTTCCGTAGATGAGCCTAAATCCTTTTCTCAGGCCATTAAAAATGAAAACTGGCGAAAAGCAATGAGGCAAGAGGTCGCTGCACTTGAGAAGAATGGCACCTGGACAATTGAGACATTGCCTCTGACAAACGTGCAATTGATTCCAAATGGGTCTATAAGATCAAATTCAAGCCAGATGGAACTGTTGAACGGTACAAGGCTCGCTTAGTAGCGAAGGGATTCACTCAAATTGAAGGGCTTGATTTTAATGAAACCTTTGCTCCTGTTGCTAAAATGGTCACTGTGAGGACATTACTAGCTCTTGCTTCAATTAAGCGCTGGGAACTGCATCAATTAGATGTCAATAATGCTTTCTTGCAAGGTGACTTACATGAAGAGGTATACATGAAAATACCACAAGGTTTTACTTGCAACCAGAGCAACAAAGTTTGTAGGTTGCGGAAATCACTTTACGGACTACGACAAGCATCTAGGAATTGGTTTGAAAAGTTCACAACCTCTCTTGAAGCAGTTGGGTTTAAGCAATCAAAGGCAGATTATTCCTTATTCACATTGGCCATTGCTGATAGTTTTGTTGCAGTATTAATTTATGTTGATGATATTGTCATCACTGGCAATGATGGAGCCAGAATTGCGACCTTAAAACACTATCTTCATTCTGCATTTTCTATAAAGGATTTGGGTCCCTTAAAATATTTTCTTGGAATTGAGGTAGCTAGAACAACAGAAGGGATAGTTCTGAGCCAGCGAAAGTATGCTCTCGACATACTCACGGAATCAGGCATGCTTGGGGCAAAGCCTAGTTCCTTTCCCATGGAACAACATCATCGTCTCGGGCTTGCATCTGGTTCACCTATACCAGATCCTTCACAATACAGGAGGCTAGTCAGTCGGCTCCTTTACTTGACAATAACATGACCAGACATATGCTATTCTGTTGGAATCTTGGCACAATTCATGGAGGAACCCAAACAGGAACACTTTGATGCAGCAATGAAAGTGTTACGTTATGTTAAGAACTCACCGGGACAAGGGATGTTACTCTCCTCTTCCAGTCATCCACATCTTGTTGCTTATTGTGATGCAAACTGGGCTGGTTGCCCACGAACACGGCGCTCAACAACAGGTTACTATATTTGTCTCGGACACTCCCCTGTTTCTTGGTAGTCGAAAAAGCAATCAATTGTCTCTCGCTCCTCCGCTGAAGCTGAGTATAGGGCCATGGCATCAACTGTCAGTGAGCTCACTTGGTTAAAGTCCTTGCTTTATGATCTTGGGATATATCACTCGAAGCCAATGACATTGTTTTGTGATAACCAAGCTGCCTTACACATTGCCAATAATCTTGTGTTTCATGCGCGCACAAAACATATTGAGATAGATTGCCATTTTGTTCGTGAACGCATTCAAAGGAAGGAGTTGCTCACGGCTCATGTGCCTTCTCATTGTCAACTAGCAGATTTGTTTACAAAGGCATTAGGCAAGGAACGACTTCATTTCCTATTATACAAGTTGGGCATTAGAGACCTTCATGCTCCAACTTGAGGGGGAGTATAGCCGGATATCAAGGAGATGAATAAGGAAATCAATCAATCAACATTAATCTCTGATATTTTGCTGGTCATACCAATAAATGCATCCATACCAGTAAATGCATTCCCTGTATAGAATCATTGATTTAGGCTTGATTATAGTTGACAGTTTGTATATATGTATATTGCAATCACAATGAGGAAGACAAGATTTCATGCGCATATCATTGCCATTCG